TCTTTTTCTTTTTCTTTTTCTTTTTCTTTTTCTTTTTCTTTTTCTTTTTCTTTTTCTTTTTCTTTTTTCTTTTCTTTTTCTTTTTCTTCTTCTTCTTTTCTTTTTCTTGCAAATGATAGGGGGGCGACCGCCCCCCCCACTGCCCCCCCCTGTCGCGCCGCCCCTGACTCTCGATAATTTCAACACAAAACGTGATTTATTTAAACAGATAATAGGTATGCAATATTCGCAAGCATATTTGATCTCTACTCTAATATTATGTTACCGCTTGTGTTCCTTGTTCCGTTGTTCTTGTTCCGTTATGTGAGTGTTTAATTATCATTCTAGCACCAATTTGCTTATTTTCACATCATGCACTTTTGGCCATGAGATACCAACTGTATATATATGTCACGAAGTCGAAGGAAGGTCATGATTTCATTAGGATAGGTGATACCTTACAGGGCCGTAGTGGCCTCCCAAAAAGTGCCACTGCAGAAATATGTAGCCGACGCGAGGGGTCAGGGGGTACTCCCCCAGAAAAATTTTGAAATGTAGAGCCTGGAATGTAGTACGTACTTCTTTTAAACGTGTCCAGTGTCATAGTATTGAATTTCAACGAAATCCTAGTCCTGGAAACCCCCATGTTCCAGAGACCCCCATTTTCAGGTCTGAGTTAATTCCAGAGCCCCCCCCCCCATTTTTGACTTTGCAGTGGCACATACCAACCATAATTTGGGGTGAGTGACCACCACCCCCCGGAGTTTCATCTCCTTGGTATATGTTGCTGCTTGGTTGTTGTTATCAGTTAGTTATTTGCATCCACGGGTAAGAATGTTCCGCTATATGCACGTTGTACGCCCACGTATCATGTATGTGCATAATTAAGTGTGTCCGCATGTGCTTTTGCGGTCAACTCCATTAGTGTGGAGTGTCGATAGCAATAGTTGTTTACCAGGTCAAAATATATACTTTGGACTATAGGACGTCGTTTATAAGGCCGACGCCTAGCTCTGCCGGTCTCGTCTGCCCGGAACTGCCACTGTCCACGTCTCGTTCCTTCACATAATCGATAGAAATATGCCAGAATTGGTAGAATTCGCGATTGAGTAAGTTTTGAAATCCAGCTTCGCGTTGCAACAATAATCGTATTAATCGCTAATAATGTGCTTGACGAACGAGTGATGAAATCCTAAACGCTTTCGAATGCTTTCGACTGATGTTAAATTATTTTATATGCGCTTATTATAGTCTTAAAATATAAGAAAGACCAACTATTTTCAACCAATAATTTATATAGTATTTTTTAAATGGGACTTTACTACTAGAGTGACTGTGTGGCGCGCTATAGCCATTAACCGCAAATTAGCTATTATTGGTGGCGTGAACCTTTAACATGAAATAGACGCTGTGAAATAATAACAGATAAAGTATATTCCTCAACTCTCGCACGTTGCAAGTTTCTTAGATGGTTTTATATAAACGCACAAGTGTACACGTCTTGCTGTTTGCTGCAATTAGCCGAAAATATCAGCAACTGGAAGTATGCTTGACCCAGCGTGCTTGTCATCATTAAACGGTAACTTTAGGAATCATTTTATATTTATTTTGAGACTTAGCAGGGGAAATACAGGCTCACGAGAACTTCACACGTTAATGTTGCACTTTGTTGCCTGTTTATTCACAGTGATGGCCTGAAGCCAGGGCAGGTGATCACCATTCAAGGAAAGATTCCAGATAATGTGGAACAGTGGACATCATTTTATTATACACTTATGCACTCGCGAACACACGCACGATCGCACACACTCACACAAACGCGCGCGACACACACCACACGCACACGGAGCGCACACACGCACACGCAGCGGCACACACACGCACACGCAGCGCACCGCGCACACACATCTATCTATCTATATATCTATCTCTCTCTCTCTCTCTCTCTCTCTATATATATATATATATATATATATATAGAGGAGAAGAGGAGATAGAGAGAGGGAGAGAGAGGGAGATAGATAAGTAGATAGATGGATAGATAGTTAGTGGAAATGTAAAATAGAATATGTAAACATTTAAAGATTGTAAAATGGTGCCAGTATATATATATATATATATATATATATATATATATATATATATATATTATATTAGAGAGACGAGAGAGAGAGAGAGAGAGGAGAGAGAGAGAGAGAGAGAGAGAAGAGAGAGAGATAGATAGATAGATATAGATATAGATATATCATATATATATTACATAGACAGAGGGAGGGAGGGCGGACGGATGTTTCGGTTGACAAAATGTATGTTAATTACATATAAAACAGTTTGTTCGACAACAGAAGATGTTTATTCTTATTTAACATAATAACTTCAGTTCATGTCACTATGTTGCATTATAGCAATTCATATATAGTATTATATATATATACATATATATATGAGAAGGATAATACACATGTGGCAAAATGTTTATGTATACGTATTTCACATGTGTAATTGCGATGTATAGTCACACTTGTATATGTTGCACGGAGATGGCGGCTTACAAAATATAGATTGGTGAATACAAATAAAACTTAGAAATACATTTTATGCTCGGATTATAATTAGTGGCATCGGTTAGGAATTACCGTTAGTATTATGGTTAACGGTAATGTTGGTGTTGTTAGGCTTATGGATAGGCTTTAATCAGTACACAGTGGCTCGTTGTCCGCGGTCAACTCATGGACAACTAGGATTAAATGCAAAAGCTTGTTATTCATGTGAGACGTGAAATATGTAAAATAGCAATTGCAATATGCAGTTGCAAAATGCAACATAGAAGCAAGCTAAGACGAGGGCTATGTGCCTATTATCGTTATGTCTATAGACACCGCCGCTTACAGAACATATTGAGTTTTGCTCTTGGTATGCAATTGACCCACATCATGCAAGTCACATAGGGACGAAGTTTACACTGCAAATATTCATCCCCGTAGAATAAACACCAAGCCATTCATGACAACGATATTTCAATGAGTAATGGTTTGCACTTTGCACGTATTAATAAATATCAAGGACCATGTCACTCTAACCCATTTTGTACGTGTGCGGGGGGGGGGGCTGGAATGTCAACATCGCACATATTCAGGCAAAATAATGTTAGCGATAATATTGGAAGTGTGGAATATTTCGATTTGTCATTCCGTGACTATAATCATATTAGCGGTGTACCTGATTGTCAAGGTATGGCCTATATTTCGTAGTCCATATATACATCGCCTACATGTCCCCGATTATAAAACGTATGACATACAAGTTGGGTGGGGCACCCAGTACAGAAAATCCGGTATTAGATATTCAAACACGAGACCAAATAGGTCGGGGTAATAAACGCTGCACATATAGGTAAGACGTGCATGGTATCTCATTATCTAAAACTGCACATCCACGTATGATAAAGGTATCCCATTATAAAACGCCAGACATGAGTAGGGTTGGAATATACCCCTACACACATATACCTAAGGTCAGGAGTACACGATAGCTTCTTCCGCTAGTAGGATGCGGATGACCCTCTCTAGCTATATAGGTAGCTCGGGTGCACGCGTATAAATCAAAACAACAGCCGCAAACAGACCTTTCACTCATGCCTGCTCAACCACATAACCCACTAGCAAAAGTCTACTCACATTGGTATCCTTATAATAAAAACAAAACATATAATAATAATAATAATAATTATTATTATTATTATTTTTTTTAAAGTGGACCATTGAATTAGCCGGTGGCTTCTGGGTTGACCGTGTTCATACCTGGGATATAAGGATTCAATCTAGAATTTTGCGCGGGATGTGTGCTGTTCCAAGTAGTGCGCTTTTCTGCACTTCTCGGGCAGTGTGGTGGCCAGGGAGTTCCTTGAGGCTCTTCTCAAGACCATTCTTTATAGAGCAAAGGGCTTCGACTACGCCTACCACTGGTACAACTCTCGTCTTAGTGTTACACATCCTGCTAATCTCGATCTCCAGGTATTTATATTTGGTGAGCTTCTCTTTCCTTCACCACGATGTTAGTATTATCTGGTAAGGCTACGTCAATTAGCAGGCATTATTTTTCTTTCTTGTTCTGGGGCAACAAGTTTCTGTCTGCACTGCCATATCCTACATGATGGTAGTATCCACGATGTTGGTAACTGGTCTTGGAGTATGTTCATACCACTTCTCAGGTACTTGCTCACCAAGTTCATTGCAGATTGACCAGATAGCTGGCTACCTTGTTATGGCGATTTATGTAATCGGTTGCAGCCAGCACTGTGCGTCCGGCGATGATGTGGCCGATGGTCTCCTAGCTGTGCCTTGCTGAGCATTCTGCACTTGCTGTTGACCTGTAGCTTGAGAATGTAACGTTGATGGTATCTGGTGTTGAGTGCTTGGTCCTGGGCTGCAATGAGCAGTTTTTCAGTCTCTTCCTTGATGCGGGGAATCAAAAATAGTGGAAGCGTTGAACATCGAGCTGGTTACCAACAATAATAAGTGGCTGATGAAGACAAGACGCCAACCATGGCGAATCGAACTTTCTCGGAGGACATCATTATGTCCCTAGACATTAGCATGCAATACCATGAAAACCTGCTGCTTATTGGCGACCTGAACTTCGACATGCTATGTCAAAGAAAGTCGAGACACTGAAGGACAATTTAATTGTGACGTTTTCGACTTGGCAAATTTGATAAAAACACCCTTACCTGTTTTACCAAAAAACTGTGATCCATCTCCTAGTCGATGTCATACCTGGACAAATCGTTATAGGTCTTTCAAAAAAATCCATGTCATGTGATATTGAGCGATGAGTGATTGTCACCATATTATAGCTTGTGTGATGAAATGGTAAAATTAAACCTCGCTCTCAGACCCAAATTCGGTATAGAGTTTCTTAAAACCTTGATGAGAGTGAGTTGGTCGGTGATGTCGGGCGGGCAGCACCTCCATGTGGCAGCATGTGTTTGATGACACTAGATGATCTACTGGGCCCATGGGGTGATGCTTGGCGTGGTCATCGACCGGCATCATTCCCATAAAGGTAAACAAAACAAGGGAAAACTGCCCCTTTTATAAACGGGGAATTAAGGAAAGCTATCAACTTTAAGAAAAAACTAAAAATGGCGTATTTTCCTAAATGTAAATTAAAAATGAACTGGAAAAATTACCGAATTCAAAGAATAAGGTTACAAAAACTTAAAAGAGTCCGTCCAACAACATAACTTGTATGGAAAGGTGTGCTGGTGGACACAAAATCACAGAGATTTCTGGCCTACCATCAAACCGTTCCTGAGTAAAGGTGCTTCAGGCGGTGAGGATGTCTGCCTTCTAGAGGATAATGCTGTCGTATCCGATCAGACATCTGTATCAAATATTTTCAATAATTTTTTTGTTAGTGTAGCCGATAATGTCGGAAGAGACCTGTCAGAAACAGGAGTTACGAGGCCATCCGAGTGTATGGAAGGTACGAGAAAAGGTAAACGCCAGGGCCACAAACTTATCTTCAACCCCATCAGCACTCCCCGGCAGGTAGAGCACATACTTGTCAAAATTGACAGTAAGAAAGCAACAGGCTCGATAACCTCTCTGTTAAGGTACTAAACAAGGTAAAACCAGCCATTATAGAACCTATTACTTGTAGGGGCGTAGATAGCGGGGGGGGAGATGGGGATGCATCCCCCCACTCATTGACGGTGGGGGGATGGCGTGTACAATTACCCCCCCCCTACTTCAGGAGGAAAATGGGGATTCAAAATTTCTGGGGGAGGAACAGCTGTTTCTTACCACTCTCCTGCTCGAAAACCTGCATTGGCCACTGTCGAGCATAACAAATTGAGCACCCCCTAACTTGAAAAATCGTTCGCGCGGCGCCTGTAGAGTACTGCTAACAAAGATTATGATTATGAATATTTTGTATGCATATCAAAAGTCAAATTTGAGTTCATCTCACAGGGGCGTAGATAGCGGGGGATGGGGTATCCCGCTCCCCCACACTTATTGAGGTTGGTGGCTTTCATCCCCCTACTTTCAGGAAGAAATTGGGAAAATTTAATATTTTAACAGACAATAAATACTGGATATTTATCTACAATTCCGTCGATCGCTAATCATCACGACTGCTCCTAATGTATTATTACACGAAATGGAAGCGTGACATACCATCTACCTGTAAAAATGGCTGTAACTGCTTTCAAGATGACTTTATTTACTGAAACTCAGCACGGTTAATTTTGACGGCATTCCGCTCATATTACGATTTTTTTTTGCAAATCCCGAAGACTTATGCAAGTTGCTCAGCGAAAGTTAACAGCCTTGCTTATTCAAAATTAGAATTAGACCTATGAAGTTTGGGATATGAACTTTCTCACGGGGGGATTGATAGGCGAATTCAATTTCACATCTCACTTTTTGGGCTGGAGGGGGGGGAACCTGGGGGTGCTGAGACCGCGACCGAAGTATATCCCGATTTTGGGTATAAAGGGTGACAATATGCACATTTGGTTTTTTTTTCCAAAATCTGGTTGTTTTCCTCATATTTTTGCAGTTTTACGTTGTCAGTATATACACGTTTTTATCAAAATTTCAGGAGGAGAATGATTCCAAGTGCTGTAGTTGTCCCAAACGGGGGTCGGTAGTACGGGCGGTCCCCCCCCAACTAATAATTTTCTGGGCAAAGGTATTAGCCGTACTGGTAAACCCAGTGCTTGAGAAGAT